TGCCAAAGTGATGCCGACTTTGTGGCCATGTGCCCTTCACTGCCTGAGTATATAGTGGAAAGATCAGAGGACAGAACTTTCTCTGCAAGGCTTCCACCTGCCCTCTAGTGAGTTCTCCCCACTTAAAGGTTCCCTTTTACCCATGAGTGCTCAAGAGTTAACGGTTGTGGCATTTCACAGGGCAATCTCTTGAGTACAGGAAGCTTGGGGTGTGAGTGTATATCATGCTAAAGGGCTAATATTGTATAAGCAACATGACAAATTAACCCAGAATTACACAGCACATTGACAAATGATAATGGCAAATTCTGAGGCGAATAACATTATGGCATTAAAAGTCAACACAAAGATGCTACAGTAAGGCACAATTTAAAGTCTATGCGACTTGCAGGTAAAAACATAAGTGATCATTAATTCTTTCAAAACGTATTTACTGAGTGAGGGGCATGGATCTTGTCTCCCAAGTTTAAGGTCTGGTTAACATAAACCAAAAGGCCACCGGACTTCCAACAAAATAATCTATAAAAACAAATAGATCCTTTAATATATAAACTGTTTCATGTCTTAAAATGTATCTATCAACAGGACATTCTTATGTATTTCTTTCACACTTTAATGTGTGAATGTGAGGATGCAGAGTTTCTTTTGCTTAGCATGAGAACATATGCTTGAGAGAACCACTCTGCATGTTGTCATATTTTGAATACATGTGAGGATACAGTTTTATGGTGGGGAGTGACTGTGTAAATTTAATGCTGCTCAAATGAGGGGGCCCAATTAAAGTCTATGTCCAAGCTCACAAGGTCCTAGGATCCCTAATTATATCATCCTCAGAACAGTAAAGTAAAGAATCCTCTCATTAGGAAATAACTCAAAATTACATGAAAAAATAAAAATAAATGATTCAAATTTTATATTAAAAAAAATCCCACTAATAGCATAAAAAGATGACAGAAAAATCAGTTCAGTGACAATTAATAAAAGTAGTCAAACTTATGAGGTATTTATTAAAAATCATAAAACTTACATCTTGAAATCAGAACTGCACCTTTTTAATGTTAGGTTTCTTCCATATCCTGACATATCCCATTATATGTGTCAAGAAACCATCTTATCCATTCATATAAAAACATTAACTTAGTTAATTTTCCAACTGGATTAATAAATCTGAATAAAACAATTTAAGTCATATGATTGCTCATGACCAGCTGTTTTAAATTAGTATATTCAGTAATTTAGACACTTTTCTTTGCAAAGGTTGTGTGATTTAATAAATTCCCATATGCCTCAACATGTGCCAGTACTACTAGGTTATCTTCAATCCAGCTGCTGTTATAGTAATAGCTGCCAACTTTTAAACAACTGAAGAGAATAATGAATCAACTTCAAGTTGGCTCATAAGTAAACTTCTATTGCTCCCAGCTAAAACATGGGCCAGTTTCAACTGTAAAGAAAATTAATTAAAAAGATTTCACCTCTAGTGTCTCAGAGACATGGCATCATGAACATCACTGAATTAGTAGTTTAAAAGCCTACAGCTCCATATTAACTCCCACAGTCTGGATTTCAGTGTTAAATGCAATAGGTTGTTTTTCAAAATTGAATTTTTTTGATGAAACAGATTAGGAGATGCCCCATCCCTAATTCATACATGAGTATATAAGTCTCTTGTTGATGGAGAAAAAAAAAGATCAAGATTCTTAGCTGTTAAAGACTCATTAGAAAAAGAAAAAAAAAAAAAGAAAAAGGCTTCAAAAGCTTCAGAGAAAACAAGACATTAGTACAGGAGCTTAAAAGGGGAAAGCACCAAACCATTTTAAGTCAGGGTCATTTTATGAACACATGAAAGCAAAAATGACAGTGGTTTTTTTTTTTTATTTTTTATTTATTTATGATAGTCACAGAGAGAGAGGCAGAGACACAGGCAGAGGGAGAAGCAGGCTCCATGCACCGGAAGCCCGACGTGGGATTCGATCCCCGGTCTCCAGGATGGCGCCCTGGGCCAAGGGCAGGCGCCAAACCGCTGTGCCACCCAGGGATCCCAAAAATGACAGTGTTAAGCTCTCTTTAAAAACACACACACACACACACACACACACACACACACACACACACACACAAATGAACAATATTTTACTGAATTTTGATAAAACACTGGCCAAAACAATTTTGTGCTGGATCAGTTATCCTGACTAGTCGTCTGCTATTGAAGTCCCTGAAACTTTGGTGTTTCCCTTAAGTACTAATCTATTTGGCATAAAGCTGTGCTGGTTTTTATAGGGGAAAGTAAGCAAACTATGAGAGCAGCAGCCTGCTTAAAATACCTCATTTATTTCTAAATGTTTGTTGCAGTTGAAAATGACTCCCTGGATGGGTGGACTTCCCTGAAGGGACAGGAACACTTTATCACTGAAGAGCAAAGTTGGATAATATAGTCCGCACAGCAGTGAGTGAGTGCTGAACTATTCCTCACAAGCAACAGGACAGACTGGAGAGAAGATACAATTTTATGGCTCTGATGAACTGCCTAAAACCATGCAAGGATCACCTTATTAGTAGTGATAATTCAATTTCTTCTTGTTTTCAAAGAAAACAAAAAGGTATTATCAGGTATATCATATCATCTCCCTTCTACATTTTTCCAATACAACTTGTAAGTTATAATCCAAGTATGGAATTGTATACTGAGGTTGCTTCCGCCCTCATAGTGCATATCCTATACAGAGTTTTAATAAAAATAAACCTCTTAGAGATGCTATCTAGACTCATACTCTACCATTCCAGTGATTCATACCACTTGACATTGACATTGTGGATGGCTGGGTTGTGGGATGGAGTATCTTCTCCAGGGGTCTCCAATATCCTCTCCAGGGATCCCTGATATTTCCTGGAAATATTAGAGATCCTCAGGGAGAGTACTTGGTTCTGGGATCTTCCAGATAGTAGAATAGTTCTAGAAAAGCTACACAGATGCCTCAGGGTAATTCAGAATCTAAAGAAAGGACAATATGTTTAACCCTTGAATAAAGGCAAGAGACTACTCTAATACTTTGATTTGATCATCTTTAACCCCTCAAGGAGTCTGTTGAAACTGTTCAAGATGCAACAGATTTAAAAACTCCATCTTTGGAACAACATAAAAGGCTAAAAACTGATTGTGAAATTGTTGCCCAGTTAGTAATTCCCCAAACAACTGAATCAGCATTCACCCAAGTGGAGGAGAAAGAGAGGTGTTGATTCCTTAACCTCACTGAATCACATTAATGCAACAGACCATTTGGAAAGTGTTCTAGTCTATTCTGGACAACAGGATGCATGTCTACACTTGGCAAAATCTTGTGCAACAGGTATGAATTGTGCACATTATTTGCTACTGCCCTAGTAATAAGCAAGAGGCAAGAAATTTCACAGGTGCAACAATGTATTTGCAATTTTGAAAACATTCCATTAACCAAAGCCAATGTGCCCAAAAGGACTCTCTCACATGAGACAAGTTTACCTACAATAAGCTAAAAGAAATGCAAAGGAAGGACACCAGACCATTTAACAGATATCTAGCATAAAAATTCTTATTTTTTAGCTTTGACCTCAGTTCTCTTTAGGAGAAGAAAGAAGGAGGAAGGAAGAAGGAAGAAGGAAGGAAGAAAGAAAGAAGAAAGAAAGAAAGAAAGAAAGAAGAAAGAAAAGAAAGAAAGAAAAGAAAGAAAGAAAGAAAGAAGAAAGAAAGAAAGAAAGAATTATAGATGGTAGAGATCTGTCATTATTCTGTTTTCTGCTTTGAAGGCTGTATATACTTAATGATTATAATTATGAAATCCTAGAATAAATATGCCTTCTATTCACTGATTTGAATATTCGAACAATTAGCTGTGTTTGTTTGAATGCACACAAGTGTCTTTATTTCTAGTGGTTAGGATAATCAAGAAATGCCTAGAGGTGAAAAAAAAATAGAAAGACATAAAGGAAAGATGAGGAAGGAAGGAGAAAGTAAATAGAAGAAAAAAAAGATTTTAAAAGATTTCCATGTAGTCAGGATAAGTCACTAATTGAAGGTGGAAAAAATAATTGCTTACAATTTGTATAAAGCAATCATATCCATGTAGCACTTCGACATGGTACAAAAGTACATAATTATAAACAAGAAGATGAAAATAAAAATTTGTATCTTAATTAAGAAAAACAACAGAGGAAAAATTATGGGAAAAAAATTATGGAAAGTAGGAAGATCCATGCCACAAATATGCCAAGATAAATGACATTACCCCAGAGGGGAGAACAGTGCCCTAGACTTAAGAAGGTTTTGTATGACCTTGGCCAGCCCTACTATTTCCTGCCTTGTATAATCACAGAAGGCAGTCAGTGTTTGGTGATGATGAGAAGTAGGATTTTAAAGAATATAATTATGGGCTGCAAGTGTTTTCTGTGGAAACAAAATGATCATTCATGTCTAAGATTGTGTAAATATGCCTTAATTTTGGTCAACAGCAATTTCAACTTTAAAAAAACAGAATCCTAAGACCTCCTTATAAATCACAATTCTTCAAGTAATCTTCAGGGATAAGCGTGTAAAAGCAAAGACATTCCAGATAGTCTTCAAAAAATGCTACTTGGTAGAAAATTATCTATTTTGTAATGACATGACTTGGCCTACCTCGACATCAGAACCAGCTCACAACCTCAAAAAGCCACATGAAAGGGGATTTAAGCAAAGCCAAAGCAGTTTTCATCTACTAGGACAGGTAGAAAAATGATCACAATGCACATTACCTTAGAGAGACTGGCAATCTTACACAAATTAATGGTGTGTCGTGCACAGATGGGAGGTGGATATAAGAAAAACCACATCAAGGCTCCCTAAGGAAACTTAAAGGCTAGGAAAGCTTCAAAACTCTCGCCTTCTCTCTGGTACCTTTAATTGTGGCTACAATAAGTGCATTTTTGCCACATGCTTTTGAAAGGAAAAAAAGAATGGTTATTTCCTTAAGTACTAACAGACTTACTTCTCTTTCAGAAAATCCACTACTCTTTTGAAGTCAGCCACGCAGTATTCTCTTTTCATTTCCATGAGTACGGTGTCAGAGGCAGATTGGACTGGTATGTGCAGAAAAGCGTAGACTCTGGGATGATTAAGGATTTTTGCCATTTCCTTTAAAAAAATGGAGAGAAAACATTAATCATTTTAAAGAATTAGGTAATGGTTTTTCCTTCAGATCAACACTCACAAGGGCAAGCAAATAAACATGGCTGAAAACCGACTGTCAACCAGGCTCTTCAAGCGAACGTCAATGGGTAATACTCTAAGATGCCGTTTGGAAATTTAATATGACTTTCAGGGGATTCCACGCAAGACTTACTTCTTCACGTTAGGTGACAAAACGAAGGTAAACTCACAGAATCTCTGAGGAATAAAATTTTTGAGTACCTCAAAAATACCAAAAATACCATTCTTCCCTTGCCTCAAAGAAGTTTTATATTCTGTTTTGCTGCATGAGGAGAAACAGCAATAGTTAAACTGTTAAGGCTCTAAAATCCTGTGTACTTGAATAAAATCTCTCAATTTAAGGCTAGTCAACACTTTTTTTTTTTTTAAATACCAAAGGAAAAGAAGGAATGCATAACCTGTTGCTTCTTCAGCTAGTTGACTAACACGTATGTTTTGAGTATCTAACTATGCAAAAGAGACAGCGTCACACAATGAAGCCAGCAGACGGCCAGGGCTCACCTGCTGACATCTAGAAGTAGAGTAGGGAAGAAGGGAAGAACATGTAGAAGAGCCTCTCTGGCAAAGTTAGAGCAAACTGGAGTGAAACAAATTAGGAAACCCAGAGCGTGTTTTATAAAATTCCTCAGAGGACACAAAGGAGGGCAGGGAAAAGAGTAAGGAAAGAAAGTGTGCAAGAGAAACTGCACTCCCCCCTTTCTGGCCCAGGGTCATGATTGCTGGGAAGCCCTTTCTGATCTATTGTATAAAATCAGTGCAAGTTTAACTCTCCTTCACTCACTAGCTACTAAGGGAATTAGCTCATTGAAGAGCTATTCTTTTTAGGTTCCCATTCATCTGTATGAAAATGTGAGACCATGAACTTCAGGTACTTTCAAGGAAGAAAAATAGTATTGGATAACTTGTCTATTGAGTGCTTACATATAAGCACACACTGAATTATTTTGTTTTATTTTCCCTCTAGCTCAGTAGCTCTAGGAGGTGGGTACTGCTACTGTCTCTGTTTCACAGATAAGAAAACCAAAGCACAGAGAAGAGTGAAATTTCATTTTCCAGATTGTGTTTTTGGTTAAGGTGTCATCTTTTATCATGTTGAAAGTTAGCTGATGCAGTTAGCTGATGCAGAAAGTTAGCTGATCCTGCCCCTTTAGAAAACAAAGATTTTTCTTACATTGTTTGGTGAATCTTAATGTTGAGTCATGAAAGACCTGAAAGGTACAGAAGCCATAGCACAAAGCCAGCATATTTACTATGGGCTACATAATGCTAAGTGTTGTCTCACACAGCTTCATACACAGTAGGCGTTGAGTAAGGGTAGGAAGAGCTTACTGGCTAAATACCCAGCCAAGAAATGTAACAATTTTGTGAACAGATAATATATTAACCAGTTATTTCTCTGTTAAATAAGAAACTCTTAAATTCTAGCTCTAATGTATATATCGATGTCTATAGGTATCTATCTATCCATCCAACCATCCATCCATCCATCCTAAGCTATATATACCTAGTAATTTCTAGCAAAGAAAGTATGGATAAAACATATCCATTAGTAATATTACTGGGCTATTGAATTTCTGAGTCCAAAGAGATTTTTTAAAACAACTAAGCTGCTATTAAGAAGGTGACAGATCTGAGTTAATTGCACTTTTCTCTCACATTGATAAAAGCCCTAATGTTTGTAGTCAGTAGAAAGAAAAGTGGAGATGCACAGGGCATGATTGATACATATGCATGGGTGACCCCTGAATAACTGGGAGGTGACTATGGAATTAGCTGGCTCTCTGACTCCGTAGATCCTCAAAATACCTCAGGGTGGCCTACTGCTACTACTACAAGCAGGATACTGCTCTGGATGAAGTACTGCCTTGTTACAGTACGACAATTTGCAAATTAAAATGATAATAGTAACAAGTTGGATAAATTTGGTGGATTTTTCCCTTTGGCTCTCAAAATAAGACTTCCCACTAATAATTATCTTTAGCAACATACTATAGACTTTGCAATTTTAGAATAGCAGGCACCAGAAGACAAAATAAAAATAAACTTGCCCCTTAATTAAAGTCTATATTTCTCCTACTGAAAGAATTATGACTTAACATAGATTAATGTATCCCAAAGAGACAAAGTACAGACAAATATTTTTGTTCTGTTTTTAGTTCTCTTTCTCTTCTTGAGAACTCAACATGTTAGTTAAAAACCATTTGGTTTCTTCACCCTTTGAAATCCTTTTATTTCTAAGGTTTGGCTGATAGATAGCTACAGGTTCTCTGGTGCCAGAGATTACTTCTTCCTCTCTGATTCCTCAACAACTGCTCCTAGTGTTATCAGAGTGTTTTCTTGGTTCTAACTTGAAACGTGAGAATCAGACTCTCAGATGGAAGCTCTACGAGAGCAGGGAGTATGTTTTACTCCTCTTGCTGGATCCCCACAATGGCTAGTACTGTGCTAAGTATACCACCAAACCATATATATGTATCTGGGTTAAAGATGCATAAACATACATGCAAAGAGATTTAAAATATAAATGCTATTCGATAGGAAGATAAATTTTCAATGAGTAATAGTTCAGGTTTGATTAAAGCAGGTAACACATATTCAAGAAGGTAAACAAACATATAATTGGCCTGCCTTAATTTTTGGGAGTGAAAAATTACATGTTCATGTATAAGTAAACACAAAGTAAAAATCAGACATTTTGTAGGTAGCCACCTCCTCCATGGGTTTTCTTTCTGAAAGTCTGTTGCATCTTTATATTGGAATCATAATGTATTTTTCTTATCCAAGTAATTTATAAATGACCTGGCGTACAGGTTAACCAAAGGATAAAGAAACATTTAGTTCAAAATGTGGCTAACAAAAGAATGGCAGCCATGAGCAATCCCGAGCTCTGAGCTGGTGGAAAAAGTCTGAGTAGACAGGCAAGTATGCTAGTTGGCATGTATGCATACAAGGTGTGTGTGTGTGTGTGTGTGTGTGTAGTTCTGGTAGCAAGTAGCATAGAAACAGTAGCTCTTTTAACATAAGGTCATTTATAGTTTAAGGGCTAATGTATCAAGGCTGCTTAGCATCTAGACATTGACTACTTTATAAGCAGGGACTGCAGAACTGCTAACCAAATCCATGAAAGAGTATTTCCATTCAGTGCTTTTATTTGGAGTTGTCCTCTCATGAACTGGGAGTCATCTCAGTGTTATTTTTTCATAAACTTAAAAAGCAAAGAAAAAATAAAGAGTGGAAGAAAAGGGGCTTAATTTTAAAAAGGCAATTCTATGTATGGGTACATTTTTATTTATTTTATTTTTGAAAGAGAGAGAGAACAAACGTGCCCACATGAAGTGGGGGGTTGGGGGAGGGGGAGGGACACAGAGAGCCTGATGCAGGGCTTGATCCCATGACTCCAAGACCATCATGACTCGAGCCAACTCAAGGTGGCTCAACCAACTGAGCCACCCAGGTGCCCTTGTATGGGTACATTTTTAAAAGAAATGTTCCAGGGATCCCTGGGTGGCGCAGCGGTTTGGCGCCTGCCTTTGGCCCAGGGCACGATCCTGGAGACCCGGGATCGAATCCCACATCGGGCTCCCGGTGCATGGAGCCTGCTTCTCCCTCTGCCTGTGTCTCTGCCTCTCTCTCTCTCTCTCTCTCTCTCTCTCTCTCTCTCTCTCTCTCTCTGTGACTATCATAAATAAGTAAAAATTAAAAAAAAAGAAATGTTCCATTTCATTTTTGTTGTTCTGTAATCATCACATTAATTATCATATTCTACCCGGGTTTGAATATGCACTCTGCTAGCTTAATAAGGTTACTTAGTGTGTGTGTGTGTGTATAAAATATATTAATACTTGCATTCAGATGCCTGTGCATTCATTTTATAGTTATCTGTCCAAAAGCCCTCTCAGATTATAGCTTTGTTAGAAAGTATATGCATATTGAGAATGCGAACCTTCAAAATGCTACATCTTCCACTAAACTAAGACAGATGATGAAGCAAAAAGATACTTCAAAAAAGACAAATTACACCACTATCTTTAAGCATTATAAAAAATAGCTTATTTGAGATATAATTCAAATGCAACACAACTGACCTATTAAAAAAGTATGCAATTAAATGCTTTTTAGTATATTCATAGGATGGTGCACCATTACCAAAATCTAATTTTTTAGGATATTTTCATTTCCCCTAAAACAAATCCTGTACCTACTAGCAGTCTCTTCCCATTTTCCCCATTCCCCAACACCTTTCCTCCAGCCTGCAACAGCCGGCAATCTACTTACTAGCTCAATGAATTGCCTATTCCACACATCTCATATAAATAGAATCATTAGTCTTTTGTTACTAGCTTCTCACTTAAAATGTTCTCAAGGGTCATCTGTGTTGAAGTATGTAGGTATTTTTTTCAATTAAGTAAAATATAGGAATTTAGAATTCATTAAATATGCCACTTTATACAAAAGTATCTCAAACGTTCTGAATATTATTAGCTTGATTAAGGTAGTAAAGCAAGTTTGAGTCATACTTATGAACTTTAACAACACAATCTGGTGGTATAAATCTAATAGAGATTAACTTTTATATACAAAATCTTATTAGGAAAAACTATAAGAGATACTATAAAACATAGGGGAGAAATGTTACAAAATTTCTTCTAAAAAACTTTTCCTAGAAGGAGAACTGGGGGTGCGGGCTATAATCTTTTTTTTTGGCTCCCATTATTTGTTTTTTGTTTAATTTATTTTTTTTATTTGTTGTTTTATTGTGGTAAAGTACGTATGACATAAAATTTCCCATTTTGACCATTTTTGAGTGTACGATTTCATGACACTAAGTGCCTTTACAGTATTGCGCCACCATTATCACCATCCATCTCTAGAACGTTTCATCATCCGCAATAGAAACTCTATACCTGTTAAACACTAACTTCCAT